GGGGGGGGGGGGACGACTAGTTAGACTAGAGACTGAGGATTTCCTTTATTGTCACAACGCTCTCTGCTTTCATAGTAGAGAGGAGTGATATGTGAGTGGTGGTTTAGCGGTTTGGAGTCGTCAACCTGTGGTGTTTTAATCTCTTTACCAGTTTCTAGCAAAGTAACCTTAGCATTTTGTTTAATTTTTCTAATCCTCAATATTATGAAGAATAGAATGGAGATAGTAATAAAAACTTTTATCAGGTTTTCATGAGGATCTACTGTGATAGTACATGTAAATACTTAATACCAGTGCCTGGCATATAGTAACCACCCAATAAATCTTTGCTGCTGTCATCATCATCATCATTATTTATATGATACTAAACTTTCTGGTTCTGTACTTTGCTTTTCTCTCTTCTGGGGGAGGACTGGCAAGGAATGATTTTCTGTTGAAATCTGGAAGGTGATAATAATTCGAATGACTTCATGGTTGCTGTATAGAAAAGTCTCATACCTACAGAGACTCAGTGATGTGGAGTTGGGTAGCATTAAAGACTTCTAAAGTGACAGATGGAGTATCCTGAGGTGGCAGATGGAACAATGTTATATGTGAACTGGAAGATGCTATAAGACTATCAAGGACTGATTTTGAGGACTATCAAGAGGTGACTAGCACTTTTATCAGGACACATATGAGCTTTCACCATAGAGAGTTGGATGAAGGTATGGGGAAACAGGAATAGTTCTTTTATCTTCGGATAGCAGCTGATAAGCTTTACACATTTCCTTTTCTCTGGTCATAGTTATTATGCCAAGCTTCGCCAACAAGAAATTGAGAGAGAGAGAGAACTAGCAGAGAAGTACCGGGACCGAGCCAAGGAACGGCGAGATGGTGTGAATAAAGACTATGAGGAAACTGAGCTGATCAGCACCACGGCTAACTACAGGGCTGTGGGCCCCACTGCTGAGGCGTGAGTACTGAGGGGGCCAGGGCATGGTTTCCTCAGCATCCCAGAGTCATACAAATGCAATACAAATGCTTCCTCACACTTTCTCTTCTCTTGAGCCCACATCAAGCCATTTCAGGAGGCATTTGCCACCCACACAGGACTGTTCTAACATGGCCTCTTTCATTACACAGGGACAAGTCAGCTGCAGAGAAGAGAAGACAGTTGATCCAGGAGTCCAAATTCTTGGGTGGTGACATGGAACACACCCATTTGGTGAAAGGCTTGGATTTTGCTTTGCTTCAAAAGGTGAGTCTTGGTGTGAGTGAGTGGAGAGTAATACTAGAATGGTGAATGCTCTTGTAGGGGCCTTCCAAGGTGGGAAGGGAAACTGCTGTTAGTTCAGACTATCTATAAGGGCTAACGGTGGATCCTCTGTAGGACTAATTGCTACTCATTCTTCAAGTCTCAGCTTCAATTTTATTTTCTTGGGGAAGCCTTCCTTGATCACCAAGGTGTGGTTAAGTCCCTCCACTCCTCACCTCCCACTTCCTGCACTCTTGTATACCTCTGCTATTTCACTTATTACTGCAGTTATCACACTTTGTTGTTTAATTGTTTAATTTGTCTGTCCTGCTTTACCTGCATTAAGGTAAGGATTATATTGTCTTGTTTAGTATTGAATTTTTAGTTCCTGGCACAGTGTGGTATAGTGGTATTCAGTAAATATGTGTAAAACGATTACATCCCTATCATTTTCCTCTTAGGTACGAGCTGAGATTGCCAGCAAAGAGAAAGAAGAGGAAGAGCTAATGGAAAAGCCCCAGAAGGAAACCAAGTATGTAAATATTAGGGAGAACTTGAGGGTTTAGATAGGTGGGACATAAAGTAGGAACATACTTAGCAAAAATATTTTTTTTGTCTTTTCAGGAAAGACGAAGATCCTGAAAATAAAATTGAATTTAAAACACGTTTGGGTGAGTACAGAGTTTCTACACTAGTGGCTCTGCATTTAGGTGAATTGTAGGGAATTTAATGCTCTGGGCAGGATATGCTTCCCCTTTCTCTCAACTGATTTTTCTCTGTCTTCTTACCCTTGAGAAGGCAGTGGAGAAGAGTGGATAGGAGCTCAGGCTTTGGAGTTAGACTGCCTGGGCCTCATTCTTTGTTTTGTCACTTGGTAGCTATATGACTTTAGGTATCAACTTAACTCTCAGCTTTAGTATTCTTAGAAGGAGATGATAATGCTCACCTCACGGGGCTGTTGTGAAGACTGAATGAAGCATAGCAAAGCATGCATAACACTTGGCATGATGACTGGCACAGAGTAAGCACTCAGTAAATGGCAGCTGCTGTTACAGAAGGTTCTCATTAGCTGTTTGCTACTCTTCCTCTTCATAGGCCGCAATGTTTACCGCATGCTCTTCAAAAGCAAGGCATATGAGCGGAATGAGCTATTTCTGCCGGGTCGCATGGCCTATGTGGTAGACCTGGATGATGAGTATGCTGACACAGACATTCCCACCACTCTTATCCGCAGCAAAGCGGATTGCCCCACCATGGAGGTGAGTAACCCGAATCTTGAAATCCTTTCACATGAGTCTCAAACCTAGAAAACAGCTTCAATTCTGCACGGCCTCCTTGACCACATTTAACCCATTACCAAGTCCTGTCCACTTTTCATCTAAATCTCAGTAGAATCCATTCACTTTTCTTCATCTCCACCAATAACATTCTAGTCTAAGCCATCATCTCTTGCTGGAACTATTAAAAGTGGCTTCTGCCCTTGGTGGGTGCTCGGTTGGAGCGTTGTCTCACACACCAAAAGATTGTGGGTTCAGTTCCTGGTCAAGGCACCTGCCTAGGTTGTGGGTCTGATTTCCCTAGTCAGGGTGCATATGGGAGGCAGCCGATCAATGTTTCTCTTTCACATCGATATTTCTCCTTCTCTTCCTCTCTCTCTAAAATCAATAAACATCCTCAGGTGAGAATTTTTTTAAAAAAGGTTCCTAATTGGTTTCTCCACTTCCACGCTGGTTCCCTTCTAATATTTTGTTTTTAATTATTACTGAGATGTAATTCAAATGCCATACAACTTGCCCTTTTAAAGTGTATAATTCAATGGCTTTTAGTATATTCATATAATTGTGTGACCATTATTGCAATCAGTTTTAAAACAATTTTAAAATGTTTTGGCTCAGTGGTTGAGCATCGAGCTGTGATCCAGGAGATCGCGGTTCAATTCCCGGTCAGGGCACTTGCCTGGGTTGTGGGTTCGATTGCCAGAAGGGGATGTGTAGGAGGCAGCTGATCATTGACTCTCTCTCATCATTGATGTTTCTCTTTCTCTCCCTCTCCCTCCCTCTCTCTGAAAATCAATAAAAATATATTAAAATTTTTCTTAATCACCCCTAAAAGAAACCCTGTACTTTTTAGTCATTACCTTCCACTACCCTAGTTTCAAAACAGGAATTTTTGTCTCACCATAGTTTAGAAGCTTTCATTAGTTTCTCACTATTTGAAAAAAAGCAAAATTTTGATTGTGGCCTATGAACCTCTGCATCTCTTGGTCTCTCCAGCCTTTTTTCACCATGGTTCCCTCTTGGTTGTTCTCCAGTCATCCTGGTTTTCTTGAATGTGCTAGAATCACTTTTGACCCAGGCCTTTTTGCATGCTGTTTCATCTCTTTGGAATGTCCTTCCACAACACTTCCTTTCCTAGTCTTTACTTAGCTAATTCTAACTCATCCTTCAATTTGTTTAGTGAATGAATGAAAAATGAAGAGATTCCTGCTCAGTGGGATAACATTCTTGCTTCTTGGGGTTTTCAGGCTCAGACCACACTGACTACAAATGACATTGTCATCAGCAAGCTCACCCAGATTCTTTCCTACCTGAGGCAGGGTACCCGCAACAAGAAGCTCAAGAAGAAGGACAAAGGTAACCTGGGGGTTAGGGAGATAAACCTTAGCCCTGGAGGGGCATTTGAGGATGGAGCCAAAGTCTCCTGGAGCCTTCTGTCTCCAGAACACTGGGAGGCTCCTGGGGAACAGAGAAAAATGAGAGCAATGGAGCATGGCAAGGATGGTTATATCTAGTTTCTGTCTGTTTGACCCACCCAGGAGGCAGTGGTTAATTTTGAGACATGAGAAGGGAAAGTATGGGTAGCTTTTGTTGTCCCATCTTCTGAACAGGTGTTGAAAAGGGAATTGAAACCCTAGCCGGTTTGGCTCAGTGGTTAGAGTGTCGGCCCTGGGACTGAAGGATCCCAGGCTCTTCCGGCCAAGGGCAGGTACCTCAGTTTTGGGTTCCATCTCTGGCCCCGATCAGGGTGTGTGCAGGAGGCAACCAATCTATGTCTCTCTCTCTCACCCCCTTCCACTTTCTCTGTAAAGCAATGGAAAAAATATCCTAGGGTGAAGATTAAAAAAAGGGGTGGGTGGGCATTAAGAATAAGAGAGATGGTGAGGCTGAGTGGGAATTAATGAGTTTTCCTCATTCCTCTCTTCACATTTTAGGGAAGCTGGAAGAGAAGAAACCCCCTGAAGCTGATATGAAGTACGTATCCTAGCCTGTGACCTGATATGAGGGAGGAAGGGGGCTCTGTGTTTCTTGTCTTCAGCATTTTGGGGAGGCCTTGTTATGAAAATCTAGAGAAATGTCCAGGGGTAGTTTGTGTGACTTTGACAGCTAGTGATTTCTGTCTTCTTAGTATATTTGAAGACATTGGGGATTATGTGCCCTCCACAACCAAGACACCTCGGGACAAGGAGCGGGAAAGATACCGGGAACGGGAGCGTGATCGGGATAGAGACAGAGACCGTGACAGAGAGCGGGAACGAGAACGAGATCGGGAGCGGGAACGGGACAGAGAGAGAGAGGAAGAGAAGAAGAGGCACAGCTACTTTGAGAAGCCCAAAGTGGATGATGAGGTGAGATGCGGCCCCTGATACCAGGTGGTAGAGCTTTGCCTGTCTCTGTGCCGGCCCAGCCAGGTACAGTTATATAGGCACCTCATGGCTCCATAAAAGCAACTGGGTCAACTAACCCAGAATAGGAACCATCCTGGAAAGGGGGACAACGGAGGGTAGGGAACTGATTCAGACTTGGGGGGTAGAGAATGATTGAGAATCCCTCATGGTGATACTGACTTCAGTTTCTATTTTCTTTCTAGCCCATGGATGTTGACAAAGGTGAGTTGTATCCAACGCATCTTGTATTAGCTCTAGCAGTCCTGCTTTCCCCTGGGCTGAGAGTCTCACCTAGAGCTTAGAGCTGGCAAGGGTGGGATTGGGGGAGTTCTTGGTTCTGAGCTCTCACAAGATCCATGTCTTGCTCTATGGAGTAGACAGAAGGTAAGTCTGGAGTTCCCTCTACCTGGGCAGTGACAGGGCATCTTTGCTCTGTTAGATATAAATTCTTCTGCTGTAGAGTCTTGATGATGTGAGGCAGGTTGAGTGGGCAATATTCTGAGCACACTACCCCACATCAACCAGAGTAGTGCATTAGTAGTTGAGATTTGATTAAAATTTTGTTAATGAAAATTCTATTGCTTAAAAAATGTTTTTATGAAAGCTACAGGTTGGAAGGGAAGAGGTAAATTTCTCATTTCAGTGTCTTAATAGAGTTCTCTTTCCCTCAGGACCTGGATCTGCCAAGGAGTTGATCAAATCGATCAATGAAAAGTTTGCTGGTTCCGCTGGCTGGGAAGGCACGGAATCATATCCTTTATTTCAATATGTTTCTGGGTTCTAGAGAATTGTTATCTTTTCATTCCAACTCTAGCTGCCTCCCTGCTTTCCCACAACCCCGCTCCTCCCCTTTTGTGTTGAATTTTGACCCAGATGAAGTCACTGTGACTTTTTCCTTGTTCAGGGAGCCATTCAAGTTCCCAGTCATCTCCTTAGAGTTTTTGGGGGTTTTTTTAATCCTCACCCAAGGATATTTTTTCCATTGCTTTTCGGAGAGATAGTGGAAGGGGGAGAGAGAGCAAGGAACATCCATGCTAGATGAACAACCATATCAACTGGTTGCCTCCTGCATGTGCCCCAACCAGGGCTGGGGATCGAGCCTGCAACCGAGGTACATGTCCTTGACCAGAATCAAACCCGATACCCTCAGTCTGAGGGCTGATGCTCTAACCAGTGAGAAAAACTGTCTAGGGCTCCTTAGAGTTTTCATGTTGGAGCTTTTAGCCCTTGGTCCTTCCTGCTTGAAGCTTTTCTGCTACAGGCAGAATTATTTTCTTTAACATAGCATATGCTGAAGAAGCCAGAGGACAAGAAGCAGCTGGGAGATTTCTTTGGCATGTCCAACAGTTATGCTGAGTGCTACCCAGCCACGTATGTGAGACTGTTAAGGGAGGCTGGGGTGATTAGAGGACAAGTTGGGGTGGAGGGAGTTGGGTGAGGTGGAAATTTGATTTGCTGGGATCCAGGGGTACTTCTTATTGGATTAACTATTCTGTTAGGCTCTCAGTGGTAGGTCTAGGGGGGTCGTCATTCCTAGGCATGTAGTCTTATTTGGTAGGTTTCCTGATGAAGCGTAGGAGTCTAGATCTGCATCATCTGTTCAATTGTTGCTTCTCTTTAGGATGGATGACATGGCTGTAGACAGTGATGAGGAGGTTGATTACAGCAAAATGGACCAGGTATGGAGTTGGAAGCATGGGAGGGTCTCTTGGGCAGTTGCTCTCTAGTACGTATCCCTTTCCCCCCCACCCGAAAGATCTGTGTCTCATTAACTGGTCCTCAGCTTCTCTCAGCTGCAGTAATGGGATCAGAGACATTGTGGGGTCATGGACAACTTAACTATTTCAAAGTGTTTGTACAAAACTCAAATGAGATAGAGCCAAAAATATATTTCTTTTTATTTCCTACAAAGTGCCAGGCTTTGATTTCTATTCTAGACAGTAAGTCTTCAGTGCATAAGAAAGGGCAAAAGGAAATTCAGTCTTTTGAAAAATAACTGAATTTTAGTCTCGCCAGCCACTATTGGAATTTTCTTCCAACTCTTAAAACCCAGCAAACACACCACTAATGGTAAAGGAATTCCATCTACTTTTTCCTTGTTCTCCCTGCATTGCAGTGGTTAAGAGTGTGGTTTAATTCCATCTTGGAACCTTGTTTAACATTGGCTCTGCCATTTATTAGTTTTGTGACCATGCCAACTTGTTTTACTGCTTATGCCTCAGTTTCATCATCAGGACAATGGAGAGAAATATATTTTCTCTTAATAGAGTTTTTGAGAGAATTAAATAAGATAGGTATTTAGTATTCAGAATAATGCCTGGCACATAATCAGTACATAGTAAGCATTTATTATTTGTTAGAGTAGGATTTATAAATGATGAAATCTAGGATTGTGAAAGAGCCTGGCTTTAATCAAGGGTTAAAATTCCATTTCCACTGACATCTCTCCCTTCCCTGTCTCTCATTCTGTCCTGCAACAGGGTAACAAGAAGGGCCCCTTAGGCCGCTGGGACTTTGATACCCAGGAAGAATACAGCGAGTATATGAACAACAAGGAAGCTTTGCCCAAGTGAGTTGGTACTAAATATGGCCAGGGTGTGTGGAGAGGGATGGCGATGGGTGGGCTAGCCCACACCAGGTTAGAGGGTGTAGTCTGGCTGAGACATTTCCAAATAGCTTCTCTGCTTACAGGGCCCTCTGGGAACACCTTGTTACTACTATGCAAACTGGTGTCTTCTTCCCTCAACTCCCCTTTTTTCCCCTCAGGGCTGCATTCCAATATGGCATAAAAATGTCTGAAGGGCGGAAAACCAGGCGCTTCAAGGAAACCAATGACAAAGCAGAGCTTGATCGCCAGTGGAAAAAGATCAGTGCAGTAAGTGGGACTGCCTCTCTGGTGGGAGAGCTTTGGCTGGGAGTAGACACTGGTCCACCAATCCAGGAACAGGCAAGGGGTTGGAGAGCTATGGAAGAAGGAGAGAGATCAGCCTTGGGCCTCAGGTGAGCTTAGACTGGCAGCATAACTATCGATATAACTACTTCTTGCAGATCATTGAGAAGAGGAAGAAGATGGAAGCTGATGGGTGAGCGGCCTTATTCATCCTCTATGGGACTGGGTAATTGCTTAGTTTATTGATCTTATGCTGACCCATTTCTCCTATTATTTCAGGGTTGAAGTGAAAAGGCCAAAATACTAATCTCCAGTTACAACTCCAAGAAGAGTCTTTACGAGGACATGCTCCCCACTGCTTGCTTTCTACAATTCCCAAAAAAGTTGCAAGGTGGTTTGTGTGTGTATGTATATAAAATATTACCATATAATCACTTGGTTCCATTAAAATTGGTTAACCTGTTGTCTTTTCTAGATTGAGCACCCCTGACTCAGAGCCCCTGAGCAATATTAATTACTGATTGTATAAAATCAAATGCAGAAAGTCAGCTCAGTCCTTTCCTGAGCTATGGTTCTAGATATTTAGATAGTAAGGATGTTTAGCCAGGAGAGAATAGAATGACCCTCACTGATAGGCAAGAGATGGGTAGAGTAATGTAAGGATGGTTGGTCTCAAATGTCAGACTCATTCAGGCCCATTTGGGGCCCTACTCTTAGGGCAGAGATTCCCTGGGAATTAGGATCAGTCCAGTGGCTGCCAGTCTGATTCCCAAGTTGTGCACAACTGAGTGCTAGATGAAGATACCTGATGAAAATCATTTGTGAGAACAGAAACTGTTTATGTATTTATGCCCTCCTGGGAGCTTAGTAATTCCAAACACGTCACTGCTTCCCCAGTTGAAGGGATACCTTGGGGACGTGCCTTGGGGAACCCCTGTGCTAGGCCCGAAGATATTGGTGTGCCCTTCAACACCCTGAAAAGTTTACTAATGCCCAGGTGGGCTCCCTGATGACTCCATCCCCGCTTTTTCCCTGCTATCTGCTCATTGCCAACACTTTTGTCTGGTACTCATAAATAAAGGTCACCATTTTCTGACTGGATCCCTAGCTGCCACTGCCTGTTCTGAGCCTAAAACCTGTGGGCTCACCAGATCAAAGAAAGCTAAAGGGTCACCTCAGCCATTGCCTTTTGTCACTTTAATCTTGATAGGGCAGGGGCACTTAAGAAGGCTGAAATTGAGTCTTGTCTGCAAGAGCACCTAGAATGGCTGATTTCAGACAGTAAATGACACCCAAGTTTCATGGTTGTAGGCAGTGGTCCCAATTAGGAAAAAGGTCACAGAGAACTGACTCTAAGATCAAGACCTGGGCCCTGGCCAGTTTGCTCAGTGGTTAGAGCATCGGCCCGTGAACTGAAGGGTACTGGGTTCGATTCTGGCCAAGGACACCATACCTCGGTTTTAGGCTCAATCCCCGGCCCCAGTCGCCCTGTGCGACTAGTCCATGTGTCTCTGTCACATCAGTGTTTCTGTCTCCCCAACTCTGAAAAGCAGTGGAAAAAATATTGAGTGAGGATTGAAAAAAAAGATCGAGACCTGGAGATTGACTGCCAGTTTAAAATCACTTTCTGCAAGTACCACCAAATCCTTGTGGAAGTGACTAAGACCCTCTGGTTGATAGCACTGTGACAAGGCCTCCCAACACACAGCAACTTTTCCAGTCACACAGAGGGCATATAGCCTCTCTGAGGTCCCGAACCTCGCTCACTTTAAGCTCTCATGTAGGAGGCTGGGAGTCAGCATATAAGATGTCTTAGCTTAGTACCACAGTGATGTGAGAAGGTTCTCTTCAGCCACAGGAGCTCCTCGTCTGCCCCACCATACAGGGTGCACCTACTTGTGGAACCTCTGTTAACTGGAATGTCCCAAACAACTGCTGTGCCCATTTTCCTCTTCAGCTCCTTGCTAGCGCTGAGTACTGCTGGCCTGGCTTGCTGAGAGTCTGCAGCCTAACTGTAGGGTGCTGTTTCTTCAGCCATAAAGGGGTTGTGCATAGAGGGCAGCAACTTCAGCACATGCATATGAGGGCTGCCTGCCCTCCACCACCCACTGTGTGAAATTCTTGTGGCATGGGCTTTTGCTGCTTCCTGACCAACCTGGCTGAGGCTTGTCATGGTCTTGGATTTCACCAAGCCATGAACGACTGGTGTCCCTCTCTCAGATCCTGAGGCCATTAAATCCTCATTACTGGTTGTGGGATGGGAACTAAAAAATGGGGCTCTATTAAAAGTAGCCTCAGTGTCATCTGATCATAAATTCTCAAATGGGCAGGTCATGATGGGTAGTCACTGCCTGGGCGTATAATTTTTTAGTAAAAGGTTTATCTTTACCTTAAGGAAGCACTATCCATTGTTTCTGTGCATCTAGGTTAATACACCTTTGAAATAACCACCCTCAAGAGCGCACATAATCTAACAATCCCATAATCCCATCCCCACCTTGCTCTCTCCCACCTTCATGTAATCTTCCTTACATTCCCTCCTTAATTTCAAATGCATAAAAGCTGCTGCAAAACTCTTACTCTCTACAGCAGTTGAGATCTTGCTCCCCCACGTCCTCAGTTTGGCTCAAACTCGTAAAAATTCTCTAAGTTTGGATGTTTCTTAGGTAGACAGGGAGGCTGTCTACCAAATTTAGCATCAGTCAGGATGAGGGGAAAGGACAAACTCCTGCGTCCGCCGTTTAGTCCAGGTATCAACGGTGTTGATACAGGAACACCGCAGACCATGCGGGTCTGGCACTGAGGTCGGCTCCACCCACACCAGCTGCGCCAACGCCTTTTCCGGGTTACGCGGACGCCCTGGCGCCACTTCCCGCCCCGCCCCGCCCGGGCGGAAGCTGTGCGCTGAGCCGCTTACTTCTGCCGGGTGACTGGTGCTGGGGTTCACGGGTCAGCCGCTGCGCCACTCGGAGTCCTCGGGTGCATGGATCACACGTGTGAGGAGAGGTCGGCGGAGGATGGGGACGACCAGGAGGACTCCGACTCCACGGAAGTCCCGGCCCGGATCCGGGACACCCCTGAAGACATCGTTTTGGAAGCGCCTGCAAGCGGGCTGGCGTTCCACCCGTCCCGCGACCTCCTGGCGGCGGGGGACGTGGACGGGGACGTGTTTGTGTAAGTGCCGCGGGGCAGCGGACGTGGGAGCTGCGGGGGCTGCGGGGGCTGCGGGGGCTGCGAACTACCCAGGAATGGAGCTGGGCGGGGAGAGGAGAGTGCAGGGAGAGAAATTTTGCAAGACTCATCTGGTCTGATTCGTTCTTTCGGCTTTCAACAAGTTACCACACAAATCTCTTGAAAGAACCGAAAGGGAGACGAAGTGGCTGTAATGTCTCGGAGCCCAGAGACAGTAAGGAGCAGAACAAGGCGGCTTTCAGGGCACCATTTCCCACCGATTATTATACTGAGCCTGAAACAAGCTCAACAGGGCTTCCTGCTTGTGTTTGCTTTAATTGATCTTTAGAAAACACAAATCCGACCACCTCATGTCCTTGATTAAAACCCTTCAATAGCTTACCTTTGCTTTTAGGATTAAGTCTAAACTGCTTGACCCTCCGGCCCTTGCTTGCTTTCCCCTTTGCTTTCTTTCAGTGCTCACTTATCCTTACCTTTATAATGTATCTTTTTTTATTACATATATTTTTAAATTTGTCTTTGTTGTTGAAAGTATTACAGATATCCCCTTTCCCCCTCTATTGATCCCCTCCACCCCACATCCACCCGCCCAGGCCTTCCCTGTACCAATGCTTGTCCATAGATGATGCATTAAGCATGTAAGTTCTTTGATTATATAATGTATCTTGAGCCTCAGCTCCTTTGCATGTTACTCTTTCTGCCTGAAACTCCTTTCCCCTTACTTGTACCTCCTAAGTTCTCAGCATCTCTTCACTCTTTCTCCTTGCCCCAAACTAAATTAGATTACTGAATTATAGACTAAATTAGGTGCTGCCTTGGCACCAGATGTCTTTTCCTCATGAAGTTCATAATGGCTTGTAATCATACATTGGTTTGTATACTTATTTGAATGCTTGTCTCATCCACTAAAATATGTGAATGATTGTCCCTGGCCAGTTTGGCTCAGTGGTTAGTGTGTTAGCCTGAGGACTGAAGAGTCCTGGGTTCGATTTCGGCCAACGGCACATACCTCAGTTGCAGGCTCTATCCCTGGCCGTGCTAAGGGGGTTGAGGGGCATTCGGGAGGCCACCAGTTGATGTTTCTCTCTCTTCCACTCTCTCTGAAAAGCAATGGAAAAAAATATCCTTGATTGAGGATTAAAAAAAAAGTGAATGTTTATTAAGCAGCTTTTTCATGCTGGGCAGTGGGATAGAGCAGACGATAAGTAGACCCTGTTCTGCCCACCTGGAACTCCCTGGCAGTTAAGCACTTAATTCATTCAGCGCTTTTGAAGATCTGCTCTGAGGCAGGCACTTGGGATACGCTCTGGACAGGTGCTTGCCTTGCTGAGTGCCTCTCTATTCCACCTCCATTTTGATCCTGGCTCTTTTTCAGTATGTGGTCACAATGTGCCATAATTTATGGTGACTCTAGCTCCTGCAGAACTGGAGTGCAAGAGCCCTGTCTTACTAATCTTTGCATTTCCAACTTCTAGGGCTGTCCTTCTGTCATAAATTTAACAAATATTTCTGGGACTTCACAGTGGTCCAGACCTAATCTTTTCCCCAGCGGGGGCTTGCAAGGATGAAGAAGGGGGGTGGTGATTTCACAAAGTCCCAAGCACATGTACTTTGAATTAATGTCTATCAAATGAGAACAAGACCTAATATTTGAAGCTCATTGAAAATGTAAAAATGGGATGATTAGCTCCTTGGGCTTAGACGTAGATTAGCAAGAACTCCTAGGTAGGTGGAAGGTTGGCTAGCTGGTACATTCCATGTATCCCAAGCAGGATCTGGGGTCATTCACTCCCTTCCACCTCTCCCCAGCTTTTCCTACTCCTGTCAAGAGGGAGAAACCAAGGAGCTCTGGTCCTCAGGTCACCACCTCAAGTCCTGCCGTGCTGTGGTCTTCTCTGAAGATGGGGAGAGTGAGTATTTAGGGAAGGTAGCCAGCAGTGTGGTGGTGGGAAATAAGCAGTGAGCAGCACCATGACCTGGACCTTTCCCCCCAGAACTTGTTACTGTCTCCAAGGACAAAGCCATCCATGTTCTAGATGTGGAGCAGGGCCGACTGGAAAGACGCATTTCCAAGGCTCATGGGTAAGGGAAGCCAATTGTGTGTTGAGGTGAGGGGGCAAGACTTGTACCTCCCTACTGGGACAAAGATGCTCCAAGAACTTCTGCATCTGTATCTCTAGTGCCCCTATCAACAGTCTGCTGCTGGTGGATAAGAATGTTTTGGCCACTGGGGATGACACAGGTGGCGTCCGGCTCTGGGACCAGCGGAAGGATGGCCCCTTAATGGATATGCGGCAGCATGAGGAGTACATTGCTGATATGGCTCTGGACCCAGCCAAGAAGCTGCTGCTGACAGCCAGGTACAGCCTCAAAGCTGCCTCCCTCCCTTCCCTTCATTAAGTGTCTCGCTCAGTGGGAGCCTCTGGCCAATCCTGCTGCTCTGCTTTCTCTATAGTGGGGATGGCTGCCTTGGTGTCTTCAATATTAAGCGACGCCGGTTTGAGTTGCTTTCAGAACCTCAGTCTGGAGACCTGACCTCTGTCACAATCATGAAAGTACAGCTGAGTGTGGTGGGATGGCGGTGTGCTAGGGATGTGGTCTGACATGGCTCCACAAACATGACTTGTCCTATTTCCTTGTAGTGTGGGAGGAAGGTGGTCTGTGGCTCTAGTGAAGGTACCATCTACCTCTTCAATTGGAATGGCTTTGGGGCCACAAGTGACCGCTTTGCCCTGAGAGCCGAGTCCATTGACTGCATGGTTCCAGTCACTGACAGTCTGCTGTGCACTGGGTCCACCGATGGAGTCATCAGGTGAGAGAGAAGCCGGGCCCTTAGCGTCACGGGAAGGGTAGGCCCAACCAGCCAATACCCAGCACTCTTTTCTCTGCCCAGGGCTGTGAACATCCTGCCGAACCGAGTGGTGGGCAGCGTGGGCCAGCACGCCGGGGAGCCTGTGGAGGAGCTGGCCCTCTCCCACTGCGGCCGCTTCCTGGCCAGCAGTGGCCATGACCAGTGCCTCAAATTTTGGGACATGGCCCAGTTGCGGGCTGTGGTAGTGGATGACTACCGTCGGCGCAAAAAAAAGGGAGGGCCGCTTCGGGCGCTGAGTAGCAAGGCTTGGAGCACGGATGACTTCTTTGCGGGACTGCGGGAAGAGGAAGAGGAAAGGGAGGAAGAGGAGAGTGAGGACGACAGTGACTGAGGGGATGAGCTGAATCTCAAGACAGGTCCTCACTGGGCAAGAGTCTCGCTTCCTGGACTGGATCGCCAGAGGCTATGAATTTATTATACCCTCTTGTATAGCATAAGGTGATGGGCAAACAGAGGGTCGGGACTGTGGGGAAGGAGAGCTACTCACTCTCCGCGTGTAAGACAAGCCCACAGAGGGGGCAAGATAGCACGGACACAGGTGTACACCAACCAGGGGTTTAATATAAATACAACTAGCATAGAAAAACCAACAGTACACATACACCAAAACCAAAATGCCAAGTGGTGGGGACAAAAGGCAGATTTCTGATCCTTTGGCTCAGCCATCCCCCAAATAAAAACCAAGAAAGACAAATCAAGAAAATAAGCAAAGATTCATGCTAAGCTGTGGGAGGAGACTGTGTGTGTCACACAGAGAAAGGCCAAGGAATACTCAGCTGGGAGAGGGAGGGCAAGGTTCCTCACCACAACTTAGCCAAATCTGAGCTGTCCCCAAGTGCCCTGGGGCTGTGCCCCAGCTGGGAGGCTGTGTCAGGCCTAGGGCAGGGCCCATGCTCCTCCTTTTTTGGGGATCAGGTGGTGGCTGCCCAGGCCTGCTGGGTTGAGGACTCAGGCTCTGCCTATTTGTTCAGGCTGCCTGTGGAGAGGATGAGGTTACTGCTTAACCATGGTACCTGCCTCAGCTCCAGCAGACCACAGGAGGCTGGCCCCAGACTCACTCAGTGCCCCAGCAGACGAGAGGAGGCTGGCCCCAGACTCACTCAGTGCCTCCAGCAGCCGTGCAGACACAGCATCCTTGGCCACCTCATGCCCATCCTGCCCTTCTGAGGTCAGCACAACCCAGATGAGGCCGCTGAAGGGCACCGGATGCCCAGGGATCACCACCTGGTACCAGAAGTGGTGCCAGCCAGCAGGACCTGTGCCCAAGCACTTGGTGAGGAACACTGGGCTACCTAGCTTCATCTGTTGGCACAGTAGCTGCAAGGCAGCTCGAGCCCCTTGGGACTCTAGCTTGTCCCTAGCCAGGGCCAATCGGCTGCCTTCTGGCTGTAGGCACCTCAGTGAGGGACCCACAAGCTGCTGGCCAAGCTGCTGGCGGAGTCGCTGCTTCAGGTCTGGCTTGAGCCACTCCACAGCCACCTGCTCCCCACAGAGGCGTGACTGCCCTGCAGGAAAAAGGCAGAGACAAGGACAGGTCTTAGCCCTGGGCCCAAGCCCCCTGTCCCTGTGTGTCTTTAGGAGTCAAGTCACACAAGCCTGTTTTAATTTCTAGCCACCTCATTTCCAGGTGGTGTGACTGCTGGCAAAATAACTTAAGGCTTCATTGTATTTGTAAAGGGGGTGTAATAACAGCTACCTTCTAAAATTTCTTGGAGGGGTACTGGTTGATGCTGGCTTTACCACATAACCATAACACTGATAACCTTTACTGTGAATACTTGCCAAGAATCAAGGAATGTGCTAAGTACTCAATTCTCACAACAGACATGACTGCCTTGGGCAAGTCCCCTTCTCTTAAAACATTCTCTTCCCTAAAGAGGGAGATCATTGTGTGTATTTTTCATTGGCATGTTAAGGACTAAGGAGATAATATGAGGAAGTATTAAGTTTAGGCAGTGGCATTGGAAATTATAAAACCTAAGTTCAAATAGTATAAGGTCGCAAATTCGGGCATTCTTGACCCTAAGATCTTTCGACTTTACCCGCCCTGCTGACTGTAGAGGTCAAGTCTCTGGCAGAACACTGTTGCCCCAACCAGCGGGCCCCCAGCAGCCTCCACGCCTACCTTCCATCAGGGCCTTTTTGGCCATGGCGGCTGCACGGTGCGAGCAGAACTTGAGCAGCGCGATCTGCGCGAGCGCCAGCCCGGGGCTGGGCAGTAGCAGCGCCTCCTGAAGGCCTGGACCCAGCGGCTGCAGCGCGAGCAGCAGCGCGCGGCGGGTCAGAGACGGCGGCAGCCCGTCCACGCTCAGCTCGCACTTCTCGGTGCTCAGGCACACGAGCAGCGGGCAGGACGGCCGCAGGGGGTGGTTGTGCAGCGTGGAGATGGCGGCCTGGGCCCCGCGCCGCGAGCTGTAGCGGGCGTAGGCGAAGCCGCGGTTCAGGCCGCTGAAAGTCATCATCAGGCGGAACTCGTAGAGGCGGCCCACACGCTGGAACAGTGGGATCAGTTGGTGCTCGTACACGTCCTGGGGCAGCCTACCGATAAATACCTCCGACCCGGGCGGCGGCGGGCTGCCCACCCAGCCTGGGGGAAGGAGGGGGCGCCGTCATCCACCGGGACTTTCCGGGTTTGGGGCCCAGGGACCACGAGAGCACACGTCTGTGAAATGGGTACCACACCCACACCCCGAGTCCTTCGCATAATTAGGTAACTGAACAAAAACGGGGCTGGCATGGAGAAGGTGTGTGCCTTAAGACTGGCTGCCTTTCCCGAGGGGGCGGGTGGGTGGAAAGCCATAGACGTTTCCACGGCTGCTGGGGGAGGGGGTAACGCGCAGTTAGGGGTTTCTGACTATGTAGACTCGGAGTAGGCGCCTCCCCCAAAGGGCTGGTCGGGGCCGTCGAGGCTGGCGTAGCCCCCCAGCAGGCGTAGGGCTGGGACTAGTGTACCTGGGGGTGGCCCGCCATACTTCCTCTGCCCGTTCACTTGCACCAGGCGGATGCCCGTCTCCCTGACCCACGCCTCCAGCGCCGCCTTGTTCTCTGGATTCACCCTCTCACACCACAGCTGAAGGGGAGAGGCAGGTTGGAATGGCGGATCGCAGCACCCGCCCCCACTCGCCTGTTGTGCTGCGGCCCCAGGCACCCCCAATCCCTGCGCAGGTGGGGCTCGTTCACCCCTCGTTGCCACTTACCTCATACTCCCGCTTGGACTGCATGGCTCTACTGTTGGTCCGTCGGTGCTCCCTTTTATAACCTCCTCCCTATCTGCCTCTGGAAGCTTCCCTACCCCTCCACCCACCAAGCTCTCATTGGCTCTGAGCACGACCCCGCCTCCCATAGGGGGGTGGGGGCATCTGCCGCACGTGCGCCGCGACCCTCAGGTGAAAGCTAGAAACCCTAGCGGTAGAGTTTGCAGGCAACCTCAGCTCCTAAGAGACGGGGGGCAAACCGGCAAGGAGGGAAGCAGGGGGCACCCTTCACCTCGCGGCAAGGGCCTGCTGTGTCTTTCTCCCCATTTTCCACCACTAAAGCCATCAGGCTCTGTCTGACAGGGAAGGCAGGGCTAGGCAATAGCGACACAGGCTCCAGTGGTTGAGATATTTTATTGCATCTTTGGCGACTGGTTGTGGGGAGCAGTCCCTTCACCTGGTGTAGTGCCCTGCAGAGGAGGCTATCTCAGGCCCGGTCCTTGTTTCCCAGGAGCCAGACTGGACTGAGCCCCCAGGGCCTCCTATGGAAAATGGAGCAGTACATGGCCATTTTTGCTTGTGAATAGTCATAATAAGAATAAAAAGTCTTTTTTGACTACTCTTCAGGTTCCCCCGCTGGAAGTGTACAAAGCTGTTGAAGTACACATGCAGAGTTTTGTCTTAGCCTTAAATAGTGCCCATCCACTTTCTTCCGACAGTCTGCTCAATTCAGCGGATGCAAAGGGGCTGGCTTGTTCGCCTTTTGATCTCCTTCACAAGGTCTTCTCTTCGGATATCAACCTGGCCAGCATGGGGGAAGAAAGTGGTATAAGCATCTTCCACTCCACTGCTCCCTGAGTGCCCACTCCTTCCTCTGGTCATCAGGCTTGGCTCAGCGGAGAGCAGGAACCCAATAGTGCTTCTTGGGGGAGCCAGAGACACAGGGTGTTTGTGGGGATGGAGATCTTACCCTACCAGGACCCTAGTAAGAGGTTAAAAGCCCTTATGTCCTTTACAAGTGGTTACTAATAAGAATGCCAGGCCTTCGCTCAGGTCTTGAATAGGCATTGGCCTGCTGAAATGGCATTCATTCCCTGCCCCTCAGCCTTCCTGCCCACCTACTTACCTCTTCTCTGCTGGCCACTGAACGGAGCTTGATGACCCCGTCCTTGAGCTCCTGCTCACCGATGATGGCCACCAGTGGGATGCCTGCCTCCTCACAGTACTGCAGCTGGTTCAGTAACTTTGGGTTTTTCTTATAAAGCAGCTCGGCCTGCAGGGGATCCAGGCAGAAGATGAAGGTGGACTCCTGCTGTCCTCAGGGATAACCTCCTGGGGGCCCAAGCTGTTACCTTCCTCTTAGTTCCACCCCAAGAAATCACAGAATAGCAGGGTGACTATGGGTGAGCTTTTATTTAGTCTGTGCCCAGCATTCCTGCTTGCTGCCACCCAGGGGCTTGCCTCCTGTACCTTGATCCCGGCATCCCACAGCTCTGAGATGAGCTTCAGTCTCTCTTCCAGCAGCTTCTTCTGTGCGGATGCCACAAGCACCTGTGTCTCTGTGGTCCGTACCTTCTCCTCCAATGCCTGGGAAAGGTGCAAATAAGAGTCAGAGAGCTGGGCTACCCTTTATAACACCTTCAAGGAGCAAAGAGAGCAAGCCCGTGTCAGGATTCTAATACCAGACCAAACTCAGCCAGCTCTATTAGGGCAGGGACCCAGTCTTCTCATCTAGGAACTGGGCATACAGTAGCTCTTAGATGATATAAGAAATAAACTGACTGGCTTGTACATATGACGTTCCAGGATAAATTACCTAGGGCTAAGGCAAAGATAGGTTATTTACAGTAACTTCTAGCTTATCTCCATCTACCTTAAAGGCCCACAAGAACAGTAACACAGAAGTGATACTGTGAGCCCATCAGGCACCCCAATCACCCCTGGCATGTCTAGTTCCCACTTACTATCCACCCAGTCAAGAGGGTATAGCCCATAGGGTACAACCCAGGGTGTGTGTGGATGGGGGGAGGGAGGATGCTGCTGCTGCCCCTTGTCTTTTGGAAAACTGTTTTCACAGTTTTTACAACGTAAGATGCCAATTGAGAAACATGGTGGTTTCTAGTCTAGAGAAAAGGATGAAGCAGTGGGAAGGTTACTGCCAAAGCACTTTCCAGGGGATGAAATGCAACCAGCCAGGCAAGAGCAGCAGCAGCAAGAGAGCACTTGAAGCCATGAGGGGTTTCCCTGGGGTTACTCTGGGTGCAAGAGTCAGGACAGCCATCTGAGGGATCTCAGGGCCTTAGGCACATGCTTCCCCCTCAGAGACTATCACAGCATGGTCAGGAACAAGACTTCGCAGTTAAGACTGCCGGGATTCAAATGGACTCAGCCACTTAAAAGATTCATGACTTTGGATAAAATATTTAATCTATAATCTTCAGTTCTCTCATCTGAAAAATGTAAATAGTAAAAGTAGCTACTCTCAGAGGGCTGTTGTAAGAATTTTCTTAGATAATGCACTAAAAGCACTAAGCTCAGTGCCTGGCACACGATAGTAAAATATTAAGTATTCTGTATTGTGAGGAGGAACTGGGTTGTTGGATATACAGCCTCGATTCCTCACAGCTCTGAGGGAAGTAGAGATCCAGAACAAGGTATTTTGTGACAAAAGGAATGATCAAAGATCCATAAAGCTGGCCTTTAATGGGGTGGGAGTCTATGAAGCAGTGCCCATCTTTTCTCCATTTCTCTGCAAAGACACTCCTTGCCCAAAGTGGGCCCCTTGGGAATCAAGGATGGCTCGGGTGCCACCACCTGCCAGGCTATCTTGTACTCACCTCCAGCCTCTGTTCCACGATGGAGAAGATCCGCTCCACTCCAATGCTGAGCCCCACACATGGCACCTTGCGCCCTTTGGCATCAAACATGCCCACCAGCCCATCATAGCGTCCTCCAGCAGCCACACTGCCCACACCCAGGGGCTCTTCCCCTGCCTGGGCTGGGGTCTGTAGCAGCACTGCCTCATAGATCACTCCAGTATAGTAGTCCAGGCCCCGAGCCAGGCTCAGGTCAAAGGAGATCTGTGGGGACAGGAACATGGTCAGTACCAGATGAGGACCAAGGACCCGAAGCCCCAGAACTCAGCTGGGGCTCCCATCCCCAACCTGCCTCACCTTGTCAGCAATGCCAAACAGGGTCAAATACTCAAACAGCAGCTTCAGGTCGCCCAGGCCCTCCAAGGCCTGCTTGTTTTGGGACAGTTTAGGATCCTGGAGCAGCTGTTCCACCAGGGATACCCCACCTGGAGAGACAGATTTGTGAGCCAGAATGACAGGCAGAAAAAGGTGGGGATTCTATATCTTTTTGCCTGGATTGCACATGTGTGCCCCCTGCCCCCGCCCACTTCTCTGTCTCTCTCCTACACATATATGCACATGGCAAGAAGAGTTTCAACTTTACGCTTTAGGGTAGTGGGGTGGCTGCTGGGGAGGCAGGGCTCATTCCTCACCATGCTGCTGGACGTAGGCCCCGATGCGCTCGGCCACCTCAGGTGCGAGGCCTTTCTCTCCCACCATCTCGTTCTTTACCTCTTTCCAGGACATCTGGGCAGACAGATACCAGTCAGGGACCTCTGGGCACCTTCCCCACCACAGAACAAGTATGGGCCCTCCTCCAGGTGCAGTCTTGGAGCAGAAGCCGCCCTTCAACCCACATCCTGAGGCTAATTTTTCCCTGGTGGCCACAGAGGCAGGCCCCCTCCACTCCTGTTTTCCATTTCTCAAGGCAGGGAGGGATCTGGGAATAAGAGTCTGGTGTTTGGGTTATTACCTTGTCTAACTTGTCCACTGATGAGCAGATGGTGCGGAACTTGCTATCAGGAACCCCACAGACTGCAAACATCCCATCGAGAATGCGCCGATCATTCACCTGCACAGACCCAAGGCACAGGGAGGAGAGAATCTCTTTACATGACCCTCAATAGCCTTGGCCACTTAGGCTACTGGTCCCTCTGCAAAAGCCCTTCTCCTGTGAGAGGACAGGCCCAACTCTGCCCTCCTAGCCTTGTTCAGCACTGACCTTGACCAGGAAGTCGCCAATTTGAAGTGAATTCAGGATCTCACACATGATTTTCAGGCACTCTGCATCAGGGATCATGGGGTCAAACTGCCCAGCAATGTCAAAATCCTGCAGGGGGAGAGGTAGGTAGAGGTCCTTGGGGGTTTCTTAAGGGGGGATTCCTGGGAGCTCTGCTCTCTCTCTGAAGGCCAGTTTGTACTTAGGCACAGACCCCGTTCTTTATTCTGTGACCATGTGCCCAGAGGAAAACCCCAGCATTCTTGGGTCTCTTTCTAGTTCTGCTTTCCTTTCCCTCTACTGGGCTATTCCTTCATCTTCTCACTCATCTACTTTCCCTATTTCCTCCTTCCACATGGGGGGGGGGGAGGCAAATATACAGCCTTAGTCCTTGGTCATTTTCTGTTTGTTCAGAAGCTCTGCCCACCAGTCTGGATGACTGGATATCTCAAATCCAATTTCCTCATCCTTTACTGTCATCCTATCACTGTGGTTTAATATAAAGAGCATTGGACTAAGACTTCTAGTGCTGACTTTGCCTTTCCTATCCCTATGATCTCTTCATCCTGAGAATCCAGTTTACTGATATGTAAAATGGGGAGAATCATCTCCCCTTCCCACGGAGCCTTTGTGGAATCTATATGAAAATATCAAAGAAACCTAAGGGTTAGCATTCTCTGGGGCACTCAGTTTGCTCAGGACAGCATGAGCACTCTGTAGATTCTACCGGCTTGAGGGAGAGCCAAGTTACCCACATACTCACACACTGGTAGAATTCGCGGTATCGGCCGCGGGTCATGGCTGGGTTATCCCGCCGATACACTTTTGCTATGTGGTAGCGCTTGATGTTGGTCAGTTTATTCATTGCCACATACCGAGCAAAAGGAACCTGATGACAAACAGTTAAGGGGAAAGCCCTTTCTGGCACAGTCTGGAAGGTGATTATCACCAGCAGAAACTAGGGTCTAGCCCCTCCCTGCACAGGTTAAACCAACACCCATAAGATTAATAGCATTTTTTAACATCAGAAAAAAAAAATCAACTTTGTTATCACAGGGGCAGCTGAAGTCTCAAAAAAGATTAAGGCTCCTTTCACTTTGGTAGTGTCTCCACCCTGGGCTATGCTGAGCACAGCAGGGGGCTGGGCACATTGGCCAGGGAGCGGAAAAAGGGCCCCATGTGTGGGATCTGTGGGCAGATATCTTCTGGCATAGCTTGGAGATAAAGGAAATGCTGTTGGTCAGTTGAGAACCTTGTGCACTGGATGGGGAA